TCGTTAGGATGCAGGTAGTAAAGCACAGGAAATGAGTATCTGCCTGACATAATTTTTTAATCTATTTAAATTGTCTAAACAGTTTTATTATTCCAAAGCACTAAAATATGTGGTCACCATGGTTCTAAGCAGTCACATTTGAAAATGTTTGCTGTCGAAAAAAATCTAATGCAACTACTGTAAATGTTGTCTCCTAATGTACAACTGAGAGATGCACAGTCAGTGAGGCAGTGATGTTACAGAAGTCAGAGAATGTTCTAGAGCAGTGGTTCTCAGAGTCAGTCCGCCGCTTGTTCAGGGAAAGCCCCTGGTGGGCCGGGCCGGTTTGTTTACCTGCTGCGTCTGCAGGTTTGGCCAGTTGCGGCTGCCACTGGCTGTGGTTCACCGCTCCAGGCCAATGTGGGCTGCGGGAAGCGGCGCAGACCGTGGGATGTGCTGGCCGCCCTTCCCGCAGCCCCCATTGGCCTGGAGCGGCGAACCGCAGCCAGTGGGAGCCGCGATTGCCCGAACCTGCGGATGTGGCAGGTAAACAAACCGGCCTGGCCCACCAGGGGCTTTCCCTGAACAAGCGGCAGACCGGCTTTGAGAACCACTGCTCTAGAGGATCATCCCTGAAAGCAGCACATGAAGAGAACTATTGACAGCCAGTTTGCAGCCATGCTTATGAGGTGAAGGAGGCTGTTGGCAGAAGCACTAAGGAAGGGTCTGCTTCTAATTAACATCCTGTCATTTGCTGGTCTTGCTGCTGTCACTAATGAAGGAGGGTCTAGCATACCCTGCTGCTGTTTGCCATCCAGAAGACCCAATAAGTGCCTATTGCTGTTTCCTTGTAAGGATCTCCATGGCCACAAAATCCCATTGCACAAGAGACATGAAGTGAAAAGAGATAAGGAGAAAAGTGTGAGGAAGCTCTCTTATGAGAAGTGCTGTTGTCTCTCTTTTAAAGTCATACTTTGATAGCCTCTCTTAAGCAGAAGACGAAAGGTGTAGGAAGGATGGTCTAGTGCAGTGGTTCTCAAACTTTTGTAGAGGTGACCCCTTTCATACAGAAAGCCTCTAAGTGTGACCCCCCCTTATAAATAAAAAACACTTTTTTTTATATTTAACACTATTATAAATGCTGGAGGTGAAGCGGGGTTTGAGGTGGAGGCTGACAGCTTGTGACTCCCCAGGTAATAACCTCATGACCCCCTGAGGGGTCATGACCCCCAGTTTGAGAATCCCTGGTCTAGTGCATTAGGCACTGGACTAGGACTCAGGAAATCTGGGTTCTGTTTCTGGCTCTGCAACAGAGTTTTTGTGTGCCCTTGGGCAAGTCATCTAATCCACCTCGTGCTTCGGTTCCTTGTCTGTAATATGGAGATGATACCTCCCTACCTCCCAGGGGTGTTTTGAGAACAGAATCCATTCTAGATTGTCAAGCACTCAGATGCTATGGTGATTAGGGCCACATAAACATCTAGCTAGAAAGCCTGGGAGGATATAGGCTAAGCCCTCGAGTAAAGCAGTTTAGGGGTTCTAATGCCCAGCTAGAATGACAACAGGAGCAAGGAAGTAATTTCTCTCAGACCTCCACTAAAACTAATGGAAAGTACCTGCACAGTGGTGCCAAGACAGACCAGAACGGTGGACAGTGTCACTATTGGCCTAGCCACTCTGTGTCTTCTGGCATCTAGGAATTTGTTTGTGAGTCTGCCTGCTCTCACTGGGACTATATTACATCCAAAAAAACTATATTCAATTAACATTAAGGTTGCAGAATTAAGCACCCCAAAGATTTGCTTGTGCAGCCTTAATTCGGCCTCACTATGCATATGATAGTCTTTAATTTCAGTTCCACTGTCTCCCTCTGCTTCTCCCCATCCTCAGTTCTCCATGTTCCCCATTCCTCATCAGGTCTCTGTCTTCTAAATCAGGCCACTCCCTTCTCCTCCTTGCTTAACAGAGATGCCAACAGCAGAAGCATTAAGAGCACAAGAGAGAGATTCTTCCTGCTTGCAGTTCTAGCACCTGGCACCAGTGTCCCTGAGTGGCAATTGCAAGGGAAGTCCTGTTCAGCCCATGCAGCCCTGGGATAGAGCATGCTCATTCACTCTGTGGCAATGATGCATGTGCAGTCTGGGCACATGGCGTTGTGTGGGCCTGGAGCATGCTTATTACAGACAGAATCTTCAGAGAACTAGAGCCAAACTCTAACACAGGGGTAGGCAACCTATGGGTAGGGTTACCATACTTAACAAATAAAAAAAGAGGACCTTCCATGGGGTCCTGGCCCCACCCATTTCCCACCCCAAGCCCTGCCCAAACTCCACCCCTCCCCGCCCTAACTCCGCCCCCTCCTCCCTCCCACTCCCAGCCACGCGGAAAGGGCTGTCCGAGCGCTACCGGCTTCACGGTTTGCCGGGCAGCCCCCAGACCCTGTGCCCCCGGCCGGTGCTTCCC